TGGGACTCAGGGAGTCAGGGCTGGCCCTCCACTCACCAGACTGCAGGATGATGCCACTGTCCGTGTCGCTGACCTCATCCTTGCTCTCCATGGCGGACTTCTGGGGGGAGGGGGCACAGAGGAGGGAGGGCTGACACCTTTCCCAGCCTGGGCCAGGACGTGTAGGTGGCCTGCAGTTTCCCCAGCTTTTAAAAGAGTAGGAAAAACACCAATCTATGTAAATTTCCTTGCTTCCAAACAGAGCTTATTAATCAGATGCTCGAGGGCAGGGGGTGTGGAGCAAGGACCGTGTTTCCGGGAAGTGAGGCTGGGGTGGGGGTCCTCAGTGCCGGGGCTGCTGCAGAGAGCAGGCTGGGCGGGCCTCGCAGCAAACCTGCCCTCGGTGGGCTCTCTGGTCCCCAAGCCCCCGGACGCCTCCTTCCTAGAGACATGGGGGGGTGCCGGCAGAGGCGGCCACAAGAGCCAGGAGACTGCGAGAAAAACCAGTAGGAAAAGAGCAGAGAGGGTGGAAAGAAGGGGACAAGAAGAAAGAAGAGGAGGAGGGAGGGAAATGTCTGTGCCCGGTGTGGTGGGGCGCTGACCTCAGCCCGAGACCCGTCCCACTGCCACCCAGCAAAGGCACGGGTACTTGGCCCAAGCTGTCCTGTTCTCTGTCTGCACCAGGGTGTCCATCTAGGCAGGTGCCGCCACCCTAGCTGGGGAGCTGCCCAAAGTGTGAACCAACTCCAGGGCAGGCCGCCAACTGTGCCTGGAAGACCCCTCGAAGGGGAGATGGCCTGGACCCGACACCCCACAGCCACGTGCATGTGAGTGTGTCAGGGCACATGCGTGTGCACATGTGTGTCAGGGCTGCCAGGGGTGGAGGGATAGACCAGAGCAGAAGCTGCCCAAGGACAGGAAGGAGGCCCTGCTGCCTTGCCACCCTGGGGCTGGGGACACACGAGTAGCTCAGGTACCATCCCAGGTGTGCATCCGCCCAGCCAGCACCAGCCACCAAAACAGCACCTGCTGGCCATCCCCTCTCTCCTCGCCAAACCCCTGCCCTGGTCCAGGTCCAAGCTGGCCAGGGTCCGGCGGCCGCTGGCTGGAGTGGGGTGGGGAGGGGCGGGCGGGGCCCAGGCAGGCGGCCTGGAAGGAGAGCCCAGCCACCTCCTCACTGAGTCAGCCATTGAGCAACAGTCCAAAAGTCCTTCCGAGTTTCTGTCTGGAGCTTATCCTGCCTCTCCTCAGGGCACCGGCGGCGGGAGAAGGAGGCCTCAGGGAAAACTGAGCCCAGAGCGAGGCAGGTGGGGGGGCGCTGCAGACCGCTGGTGCCAGCAGCAGCTCCCTGCCTCTGGACAGCTTTACAGACCCACATAAACACGGCCTGTCAGACAGAGTACTTTGGGCATCAGTTAGAACCATGGCCCTGAAAACAGTAGGCAAACTTTGGAATTCAGTTCTCTAAGTCTAGCGAATGAATGGTAAGATTTAAAAAAAGTTTATGCAGGGCCTTTGCAAAGATGCCAGAGAGGCCGGCCATACCTTCTGGGGACTGAGAACAGGGTGAGAGCTAGCTCTGTGTGGTCTGTCTCTCCCGGAAGTCAGAGCAGGACGACAGGGGGACAGGCAGCCCCCGGCCTCCCCCTGCATGGTCCCAGGCAGCCTCTGACTGTCCCCAGAAGCCAGGGGCAGGGCCCAGCCAGAGCGAGGAAGTGAGGCCGTCTTGGTGAGCACTCGGCTGTGGACAGGGGAGGGGGTGATGCGGGAGGGGAAGCTGTCAATTAGTCACACTTACTAATTAATTATTAACCACTCAGGAGTTGCCTTGGGAAGTTGTGACAAATCAGCCCCGGCTTCTCAAGGCCCCCGGCCTGCTGCAGACAGCGAGTGGCGGATGACGGGGGCTGAGGACGGGCTGGCAGCCCCCCTACACCCCCTCCCCTCCTGCCAGGGTCAGCGGGGTTGGGGGGAGGCACTGGCGCTTCCAGCCATCCCAGCCCCGTGCTGGGTGAACCCACTCCAAGCAGGGTGAAGAGCACAGGACCCCAGGTCGGAAGGCCACAGCGGAGCCTGCCACTGCCTGTGAAATCCAGGGAGCTCGCCTCCCCTCGCCTCCCTGGCCTCCCGGAACAGCCTCTAGGGCCTTGCCTGCCCTGTCTGAGTCTGGACCTCTTGGATGACATCGAGCTGAGCAGGACACCGTGACACCTGTAGCAGGCTCCTCATTTGCCACCCCCACCCCTCCACCCCACCCCGGTGCCCTCCAGCTGCAGCGACCCCACCCCAGGGCCCACAGGCTCCCTTAGGTGTTGAAGGCACTGCTTTCCATAAAGGCTGCTCAGGACCATCCCCGCCCCTCTGCACCACGGGACCCCCTCCCCGCCCTCCAGACCCTCAGCCCCCCGCCCCAAGCCTCAGTCCTGGGCCCCCGAAGCAGTCCAGCCACTGAGCAGTGTCCCCAGGAAAAGGCCAAGGAGGGCAGTGGGGGCGTAAAGTGGGGAGGGGGACACCGGTGCACGTTCCCTCCAGCTGAGCCACTGGAGACCCTCTCCTGTCACAAACGTGGCCCCGGAAGCCGGGTCCTGGGCCTCTCCCCTCCCCTCCTTCCTTGTTCCCGTGGAAACTGAGGCCTGGGAACCACGATGACAGGACCCTACCCGCACCCACCAGCACCCCTGTCACCAGTGCCCCAGACACAAGTGGGGGGTGGTGACGGCCACTGCTGCCCCCCTAATCCCAGGCTAGCTTGCTCCTCGCCCCAAAGCCCCTCTCCGGCCACCCCGCCCTCACCTGCTTCCAGGTTCCAGTCCAGGAGTCTGGGAAACACCCCCTGTCTCAGGTCAGGGGGCTGAGGGGCCTGGCATGTCACCTCAGGGTGTCCCAGGCCGCCGGTGCTCTCTGACCCGGCTCGCTCCGCACACTGATGGCCGATGGCCGTTCCTCCCTCCGGTCCCGCCTGCGTCCCTCCCAGGCTGCCGGGCCAGGGGAGCCAGGTTACTTGTTAGGACTTGAGTCAGAGGGAGGAGCGGGTGAGCAAGCCCTTCCCTGAACAAATCGTGCCGCTCAGGCAGCTCGGGCCTCCGCACTTCCGGGGGCAGCGGGGGAGAGGGAGCCGGGGCGCCCCGCGGAGGAACCCCGGGAGAAGGCACCTGGCTCAGGCTGGCCTGCAGGGCCCGGGGCCCCGCGGAGCTGCTCTCCTGGGGCCCGTCCCCCAGAACTCGCTCCACCGGGGACACCCGCGGAAACCTGCACACTGACAGGAGGGTCACTGCTCGCCCATGTGGGAAAGGGGACCAAGGCCAAATCCGCTAGAAACTCCAGGAGGGGCAGTGACGCTGGAATGCCATGAGGGGAGGCTCTGGGGTCCTGGAGAAGACCAGGCTGTTCTCTTTTTACCCCAGATTTTCCCCCGTGGATCAGCAAGGCCATCACCTCCCTGTTGCTCTTTTCCATCCATCCCTCAACGAGGTCCATGGAGCACTGGCCCGAACCCCAGTCCACAGGAGGGCCACTGTGACCCCAGGCTCTTAAGTCCACTCCCCAAACATGAGGGACCAGAGACCAAAACGGAACTTGTTCCCTTTTTAAAAAAAGGCCTCCAGGTCTCCCATCCCACTGACCCTCAAGAAAACGGAGGACTGTTTGGAAACAAGCCTATTTCACCGGGGGAAGTAAGGACCAAGGCCCCTGGGTGCCCATCCCCAGCAGCAGGAAAACACAGACGCATGCTGCAGGCTACTGACCGCCCGCAAGGCTCCCCCGGGCCTTTCCCGCCATGCCCCACTCTCTGGGATCCCGGCATTTCAACGTTTTTCTGGATGGCTTCCTCCCCGAGCCCCAAGGACCACCTCTCTACTCCCCAGCCCCAGGGCAGGGATGATGGAGGAGGTCCTACCCCAAGCATCTTGCCCCGACTTCACCACACCCCCCACCCCTACACACATACCCAGATCACCTTCACATTCCTGCACACACCCTCTTTCCAAACACGCTAGCCCGAGCCCTCCAGGCTGACCACCTCCTCCTCTGCCCAGGCTGAGGCCAGCAGTGGAGGGCCTGCTCTGGGTCTCCCTAAGAGCCCACAGCCCTCTCCTCCCCCTCCCCTACAGGCTGGTCACATTCTTCCCACGACAAACAGAAGACTTGACTCTGTGCACAGCTGGCACCCAGCCTCCACCTTGCCCATCCCCCAGCGCCAGGTGGGGGGTGATGGAAGCTTCTAGAATCAGCTCATAGCATATTTTTTAATGCACAAAAGAAAATGAAGAGGGTCACTAAGAGAACCAATTATACTGAAACACAGTTCTAAAGACAGAAAAACATATATATATATATATATGTATGTATGTATGTATTTCTTTATTCATGTTAAACAGGACCCTGAAGTGGGCAATTCCATAGCAGTGACGACTGGAAATAGTGTTTCAAGACAGCCGCAGCAACGGCACTGTGATGTGAACCCCCCGGGACGCCTACCCACGGCAAGCCACAGGCACTGCCAGCGCTTCCTTGCCTTCACGACTGCAGGTGATGCTAAATCTCAGTAAAGGCTGGCAGCAAGCGCACCTCTCCCCTCTAAGTTCACGACCCTCTGAACTCTAGCCACAGATGCGCTGGTGCCCAGGCATTCAGGTAAGAACTGCGCCCTCAGGTCATCTCCCATCTCTGAGTGCAGGCAGAGAAGCACAGATGACCAGTCGCTGCCCTGACCCCCTGCAATTCTCAAAGACCCCTCAGATTCACACGCAGCGTTTCCCAGCCCAGCAGGCCCTGAGGTTTGGAATGAGGCTGGCAAACCAACTCTCCCGAGAACTCCCGAGCCCGTGGGTCTCAGCATCTGTCATGCCGTTCGACTCAAAATATCCAGGGAGAGGTGGGCATTCCAGAGGCCTGCTGAGAAGTGGGGCTCAGCAGCCTGCTCCCCGCCAGCGCCCCAAGCCCCAAACCCCAGGGCATCATCACCAAGACCTCCAGTGGATGAGGAAGTGGGGTTTCCTTGCATAACATTCGAGCACTTGGAATCCGATCTTTGAAAGAGGGAGAAAAGCTGCATCTCTTTAGGGTTTTCATTTCCTAAGAAAAAGTCCTGAATCAGAAATCTCCCACATCCTGCAGCCATCGACTCACACTCTCCATCACTTTTTTTTAAAGTTCCTTCTTTAAGTTTCTTATGATACACGAGACTGAAGTTAAAGCAAGGGCCTGTACCATCTCCACACCCCCTCCAGCACCCAGCAAAGCACGGTCTCAGGCACTCCTAAAATTTCACTTGAAGAATTAACAAGCCGATAGCCGCTCCAACCGACTCACTGGGAAACATCCCGGGACCCTCCAGGAGAAGCGGGTGGGAGATGGTTCCTGAACTGTTTTCTTTCTCCTCTCCCGCTTCCCACCGGGAAAGGTGCTCGCCTCCAGCGAGCGATGGTGGAGTGGGCTGGGACAGGGGACTCCACAACAGCCTGGAATGCGCGCCGGAATCAGACCTCTAGGCTCTCCTTAAAAAGCCCCTTTGTCCGGTCCACCCTGCTCCCCTCCCCCACCGCGCCCTCCGCGTCCAGGCGGCCCGGGACTCGGCTCCTTTTGTCTGGCTTCCCGGAACCTGGCCAGGGGACCCACAGGCGTGGGGAAGGTCGGAGGAGAAAGGTCGAGTAGGCGGAAACAGGCATTTTTGGTAGGAACTCGGAATTCCCACCCC